TAAAGAAGAAAGGATCTAAACCATCTGACCCAGATGTTTTTTTGGGGCTAAGTTTAAGGACCTCTATTTGCACATCAGACTGCAGGGAGAAACTTTGTAGCGGGCAGGGGTAAAAGAGGGAGGAGCATCGGGGCTAGTCGCATTAGAAGGGCTGGGAGATGAGGAAATGTTGGATGGGCAAGGAGGCATGGCTGAGTCAACTAGGAATCCTGACTTAATGAAGTGGTGATTAAAGAGCTCAGCCATGTGCTTCTTGTCAGTAACAACCACATCATCAACATTAAGGGACATGGGCAGCTGTGAGGAGGAGGGTTTATTCTCCAGGTCTTTAACCGTTTTCCAGAACTTCTTGGGGTTAGACCCACAGAGAGAGAACTGCTCCTTAAAGTAACTAACTTTGGCCTTCCGGATAGCCTGAGTGCACTTATTTTTCATTTGCCTGAATGAGAGCCAGTCAGCCCTGAGTATGCGTGTGCCGAGCCTTTCGCCAAATGGAATTCTTGAGGTGGAGTAACTCTGCCAGATCATGGTCGAACCAGGGACTGAACCTGTTTTTAATTAAAACTTTATGGGGGTGTGTTTGTTAACAATACCACTGAAAATATCAAACAATAAGGTCCAACAATTTCCTTAGATGTGGCTATTCTACACGCAACAGCTCACAGCCTTCAGTCTCCCGGAAGAGGACCTGGGATGGGAATCAGCCAGCGGCCTGGGAAACTCAGTCTGAAGAGACACAGGGTCCAGTGATGACAGTGACTGGTCTCAAATATAGTCAACCAATCTCAACTTAACTTGTGCATTTGTTTTGTTTATGGTTGCATTTATTGTTTGTGTTGTTCCAAATACAACCAACCATGGGCCACATATGGTGAATTTATTGCAGTATTATTTTACTTATTGAAATTGGAAAGAAAACATATTTTCATTATCTGCATGTCCTTGTTTCTTATAATTTTAGATGGGATTTGATTATTGCTACATATAAAAATGACTTACCAAGTTATTTAAGAAAAGTAATCGCTCAGTTTAAGCCCCCCAAAAAACTATACAACCCATAATTCAAATATAAAAACATTTTTATTTTCAGCAAAAGATATCATACAATTCCAGTTTAGTTGTACACCGTGTGTTAAATACCTAAATACACTTTTACAGTCATTGTCAGTAGAAAACAAATATTGGATATTTATGAGATACAAAATGTACACATCAAAATTGCACAAACATGTACACAGCATTTTGCAAATTACCAACAATGGTCTTAAAAGTTGCACTATGCAGAAATTGCTCCACCATTTCATGGTTGCTAAAACTCTAATAGTTTTCCTAATTTCAGTTTGTGTGACAAAATAAGTTAGTATAGTGTAGAATCATTGTCCCATAACCAAACATAGTTGTTTCAGCTGTTTGAAGATGGTGTACAAAACCGAACGTAAAAGACGCAAAAACTAAACTTAACAGGAAGCATAGAAATAGCGCACATCAGATCTACCGCTTCTTAGACTTGCTTTCAAGTAGAATGAGTTATAGATCTATGTGAATTTGGTCTGGTCGCCCAAAAAGTTACATATTGCCACTTAAAAAAAAGGTCCAATGCAGCTGTTTTATCTCAATATCGAATCATTTCTGGCTAACAATTGAGTAGCTTACTGTGATTGTTTTGAATTCAAATGGTGAAAAAATAAAAATAGCTTCTTGGCAAAGAGCAATTTTTCAGGCAAGAATTTTGCTAAGACTGTCTGGGAGTGGTCTGAGTGAGGGGCCCAATTGGACAATTGGCCTAATGAAACCTGAAAACTAGGTTATTGGCCGAGCGGTTTGAAACTCTGTTATTGATCTATTAACTTGTACCGCCTGATGATGTCGCCAGGCAGGGCAAAACTCCATCCCTCCAAAACAGGCTGAAATTTCAGGCAGTCTTTTCAAATAGCTCTTACACTAAATGGGAATTATCATTTTCACAGTATTATTCCAACCTCTGGAAATATATATAAAACACAGGAAAATCACATTTAACTGCACTGGGCCTATAGACATCAAGTTTAATTTAAAAAATAAGTATTGTCTTCACATTTTTAGCTGAATATTTAATTCAAAACACAAGATCATGAAACAAATTTGCACTGTATAAAATGTTTAAAACCACAATTTAAAAAAAGGTTTCACCACCTCCAACCCAAGTTATAAATCATATGACAATCAAATGCCTTTTACATGTGCAATGGACAGGGTCAATGTACTGCAAATATCCTTGTTCCAAACAGAACAATAAAATGCTATGGATTTGGGGGATTCTTACCACCTTTGAAAGATGATTATTATGTCCACAGGTAAAACAACCCTGTTTATATTCCCTCAGAAACAAACATAACTTTACTACAAACTTCAATGCTTGAACATAAACATGTTTTCGACCCATCATTCTAGCATTGTGAGAGCTGTGAGCACATTGGGAGTCATGGACCTAGCCGTGGAGCATTTGAAAGAGAATATCAAACAAGAGAAAAAGGACTAAATCAAAATCCAATGGAAATGGTCACATTTTTGACCATAGAGTTTTCCGCAGTGCTGGTTTGATTGAATTCCAGTCTTAGTTCTAGGATGGTAATTTAAACTGTGTTAAGGATTTTACCATTTACACCTACAATATTAGTGTAAAAGATGAGACAATCTGCTTAAATTACAACTTAGTGTAAAAGATGAGACAATCTGCTTAAATTACAACAATTATGCTTACAATAATTCTGTAAGCATAATTGTGAAATGTATTTAGCTGGAATAATTGGAAAATGAATATTTTGTCTTGGAAAAAGTTGCAGCGTAAGTATAAAACACAAAGACAAGGATAAATGACCAAAAACTAATAAAATTGAACAAGTCCATTTTTATCATAATATTTAAAAGCTTTGGTCTTCCATACATGCTGCTTACTTGCCGGGATAAAACAAAAATTTTTTGGAAAGGGAAACCAATGGAAGTAACCAACTTGGGATTCCCCAGCCAGTCCTAGCTACATTTCAGTTTTATAAGGAGAAAGAACATAGTGTTCCATGACTGTGCAACAAAGATGCTGCCCAATCAAAGCCTCATTGTGCAGCATCTCATACTAATGTGCCACATGGATCTTCCCTTATGGAATTCCCTTTATGTTAATTTGATTTATATCGATTTCTGAAAGGGATAGGATGAGAGTTGGACTGATGAAGGGTGTGATCATTGCATCATGCATATCACATCCGGCTTTGCCTTAAGGTGACGATGTTTCGCCCTAATAACTTTTTCTGCTGCAGACAAACACCTAAGGCTAAACACGCACTCTGCCTTGGAATTATTTCGCAGGAAAAGAGAGAGACTGGAACAGACTGGAACATAACTATACAGCAGGCAATGTAAGCAGTCTTTCTGAACATCCAGGTCAAAACTTAATTGCATTTGATATACAAACAATATTCATTGGCTAAGCAAAGACAAAAAACTGAAAGAAAACAAGAAATGCTAAGTACTCATAATAACGCTAAAAAACCTAAACCCAAAACAAGAACAGGAAACCAATATTAAATCAATGCTTGAATGTTCATTGTAGACCTTGAAAAACTATTGGGTCTGTTGATCATAACAACAAATTGGCATGTTGGTGACATGCCACAAACATAAAGAGGGTCTTTTCAGGGAAGCTGTTAACTTTTAAAGGCAGGAGAACAGATAGTTGTTTGCTAGTCTCTTCAGCTATACACTGACATTACAAATACATTTCTGTTGTAGAACCCTGTCCATTGTTAAGAGCCAGTGTCACCTCAGATCCCTCCCTCTCTCCACCATCTCAGTCAGTCTGAGGCAGTGTAGGAGGAGGATGACTGGAATAGGGCACCAGGCCAGGCCGAGTCAGACCAGGCCGTATTTACTCCTGCTCTCTTCCAGCAAGGCACTAAGATTTTCATTCAAGTTTATCATTGCAAGTGCTTCATGCACTTAAACCACCTATAATACCCTTCACCAACCCTCCTCCTGGGCAAACCAGTCTATAGTCACTCCTGATGTGTTTGAGAAGCCAGCATGGTCTGTCTACTGTTTCAGTGCTGCTGACCTCAGTGTGTTTCATGATGAGGTCATTCCAGAGGCTGCTGGGGTTCATCCCAGAAGGCAGCGGGAGCCTCTGTTCAGGTGATGGGACAGAAAGAAACTAATGACAGTAGTTAGAGTCCTTACAGTTCCCTCTATGGACAAATCATCTGGCAGAAGATCTTTGTATCCATCACTGGATTCAAATCACAGTCCTTCGATTAGATAAGTGCTGAGACAAAGTGCTGCTACTAAAGTATTATTCATTCAGATCTAAAAAAATACACGTCCTAAAAGATGAGGGCCTTTTCTTACCCCTCTCATTTGGACTTTTGATCAACGCTATAGAGAGGAAACCAAGAAAGAGAAAATGCTAGCCAAGTGCATAACAAGAAAACAAAAACAAGAATCAACACAAGGTGCTTTTCAGAGTGGTTGGTTCTGGATGGCTTCACAGAGTGTCAGTTTGGGTTTGGCTCAGCTGGAGTCTCAGGGGGGGCTGTCAGCGCAGGGGCGGCACATGAGGGGAATGGAGGGAAAGTGACTGAGCAAGAGGCGCACTCATGCAGGGTGATGGAGACGGACGTATGGGCAGTGTCGTCTGAGAGAGGCACGGAGAAGCAGAAGTGAGATGGACCACCGCCAGAATGACCGTGCTGTGACAGACCTAATCCCCCTAACGCAGGAAGACACCGTCACCGCTCCGTATCGAGAGACCAGTCTGTCAACCACAGAGAAAGAGCCTCTCAGGCGCCAACCCTTCTCCATCTCCCAATAACTAATGCATCTAGACTGGCTTGCCCATGCTAATGCTACCCCCCCGTCCCCCCTTCACTTCCTTTCCCCCTAGACAACAGCCCACTTCTGTCTTAGTGAAAAAACACAGTTCCAGAGTGAGTGGAATTCAGGTTCAGTCTCAGTGCTGACCACTACTGGTGTCAGTTGCTATTGCGGTTGAACGTCTCCAGGACGGTGGTGTTGGTCTTCTCAAACACCCACTGCTGGCTGGGGATGCTGGGGTCACACGTGTTCATGAACACCTTCCTCTCTGTGGGGTTGCTGTCGATACAGCTGTTACTGATGGGGTGGTATAAACTTTTATCCTACAGAGATGAGGGAGAGAAAAGAGGAGAGAGATGATAATGATATATTTAGTTATAGTACATTTAAATAAAAATATTTTCTAAAAAGGTCATTTAATATCAAAATATTTATTTTGCTGCATGGAAAACAAGGATTTTTTTTCTTCTTCTAACTGGGTACACAGCTTTAAGGGATACTTTGTGATTTTGGCAATGAAGCCCTTTATCTACTTCCCCAGAGTCAGATGAACTAATGGATACAATTTGTATGTCTCTGCTTCCTGTATGAAGGAAGTTAGAGGTAGTTTTGTGAGCCAATGCTAACTAGCGTTAGCTCAATGAATGAAAGACTATGGTAACAACTAGCATGCTAGCTGTTACCATAGACTTCCAGTCATTGCGCCAACTCTAGTTAGCAATTGCGCAAACGCTAGTTGGCAACTTCCTTCAAACTCATTGCCAAAATCCCGAAGTATCCCTTTAACAGCTGAATGTCATGTTTTTTATCTAAGAAAAAACTGCCTTAGCAAGCAGCCTGTGACATTTTATCAGAAGGAAAAGGAAATACAAAGGATCAAAAATACATCTCAAAGACTGCTGCTTGGCTGGAGCAAAGAAGTGCATCACAACCAACTCACAAACTTGTATTTTTCATACATGAAAAAATGACGTGTGTGTGAGAAAGAGAGACCTTACCTTCCTGTAGCGCCACAGCTGGTTGCCCTTCATGCCGTGGCAGTCGTACAGGGTGACGGGGCTGTTGTGGGAGATTGCATCGAAGCAGACCTTTTTGGTGTGCATGGGGCCCCCCAACCGGATGTCCTCCCGCCAGCCAAACGTGAACACCTGGAGGGGGCAGAGACAACCTGGATCAGATCACCTCCAGAGATGGGCCTCCACCTCCAGCTCTCCTCTTGGAGCCAGTGTCACTCCTGGTCCTGAAGAACCACAGAGCAAGCTTTTGTTCTAGCTCAGTACTAACACCTGATTTAATTCATCATTAAGACTTTGTTAGTAATAAGCTGGAACAAAAGCCTGCACACCCTGTGAGTCTTCAGAACCAGGGTTGAAGAGAACCGTCCAAGGGAGATCACACATCGGTCTCCCCCAGGCATTTTCACTCATGGGGGATAGAATAGTTATTTGTAAAGGGGCTCCTCTGCTGTCACATTCAAAAGGCCCTGAGTTGGACTGCAGCCAGACAGAGTTCTTTGATTTGCACGGATGCTGTTTGTCATCCCAGCATTGAATACAAATTGCAACCATGACAGAGATTAAAATACAACAGCTCTTTAAATTACTATAATTAAACTGTCAAAGCAGTGTCAGAGCAGGCAACTTAGAAAATAATAAGAAAACATGGCCATCCATCAACGTTTGGTTATGAGCTCTGCTAAAACATATTTTGGATAACAAGGGGAATAAATGGGGCTCCATTAGAACAGTAGAGATTATGAAGTTGTGTGTGCACCAGTGTGTGTATGTGTGTGCGTGTGCGTGTAGTGCTTATGAAGGCAGAGCGCTGTCTGTACAGTACAAAAGGAAGTTATCTGTATGCAAAACTACAGGAAAACTAGCGCTTTTCACGGCAGACAGATGTCTGTATTCAGTGGTGTGTACTAAGCTCCTCACCTGTCCATGGCTCCACCCGGCCTCACCCCGCCCCTTCAGACATGTCTCCAGGCGGACGGGCGACCCAGACGAAAAGTGTTTGCTCTCCATGCACATGTCACTGCCTGCATTGCGCAGCTAGAACACACACAGGGGCAGACAAACAGAGAAAGACAAAAATGCAGTCATCATTCAATACTAGTCACTGTATTAACCACTGACTAGGGCTGTCTGGATCTCTCAGAACTCTTGTCAGCTCTCTTCTTTAGTGAAAAAGTGAGTGATGAGTAATGACGAAGAGGATGCTGTGGCAGGAGCTTGGCCCTCTGATGGCTGAAGTGACAGTGACACACAGCTGTCATAGGCCAGACACTGTCTCTGTCTTTCTTGCTCTCTTTCTCTTCTAACTTTCTCTCCATCTGTCATCTCTCTCACTCTTATCTCTATCTCTTAACTTTCTCTTCTTCTAGCTGTTGTTGTCTCTCTCTAAAGACACTAATAGATGAGAATTGTACCTCTCCCCAGGCGGCAGCAGAGGGCTCCACAGGTGGGTAGTGCTTGGGTAGGTCCCAGGCCACCTCTGTCATGAACCACTTGAAGCTCTTACAGTTGAGGCTGTTCCTCAGGTCCTTCTGCACCGTCATGTCTCCTGCTGACAGGTGCCTGTACTCTGGCCTCCGCTGGTAGATGTACTCTGCATATTCATCCATCCATACCTCGGCCACTCGCTTCAGGTTCTGTACAGAGACCAAGGGAGAACAGAAGGAGTTAAAGCACTGTTGCTCCACAATGACTATAAATAAAATAAAATTGTATTTGCCACATACATGTGTTTAGCAGATGTTATTGCGGGAGTAGCGAAATGCTTGTGCTTCTAGCTCGGACAGTGCAGTAATATCAAACAATTTCACACCATATACCCAACACACGCAAATGTAAGCAAGGAATGGAATTAAGAATACATACAGTGGGGAGAACAAATATTTGATACACTGCCGATTTTGCAGGTTTTCCTACTTACAAAGCATGTAGAGGTCTGTAATCTTTATCATAGGTACACTTCAACTGTGATTTTTAAGTAATTAATTTGCATTTTATTGCATGACATAAGTATTTGATACATCAGAAAAGCAGAAGTTAATATTTGGTACAGAAACCTTTCTTTGCAATTACAGAGATCATACGTTTCCTGTAGGTCTTGACCAGGATTGCACACACTGCAGCAGGGATTTTGGCCCACTCCTCCATACAGACCTTCTCCAGATCCTTCAGGTTTCGGGGCTGTCGCTGGGCAATACAGACCTTCAGCTCCCTCCAAATATTTTTTATTGGGTTCAGGTCTAGAGACTGGCTAGGCCACACCAGGACCTTGAGATGCTTCTTACGGAGCCACTCCTTAGTTGCCCTGGCTGTGTGTTTCGGATCGTTGTCATGCTGGAAGACCCAGCCACGACCCATCTTCAATGCTCTTACTGAGGGAAGGAGGTTGTTGGCCAAGATCTCGCGATACATGGCCCCATCCATCCTCTCCTCAATACGGTGCAGTCGTCCTGTCCCCTTTGCAGAAAAGCATCCCCAAATAATGATGTTTCCACCTCCATGCTTCACGGTTGGGATGGTGTTCTTGGGGTTGTACTCATCCTTCTTCTTCCTCCAAACACGGCGAGTGGAGTTTAGACCAAAAAGCTCTATTCTTGTCTCATCAGACCACATGACCTTCCCCCATTCCTCCTCTGGATCATCCAGATGGTCATTGGCAAACTTCAGACGGGCCTGGACATGCGCTGGCTTGAGCAGGGGGACCTTGCATGCGCTGCAGGATTTTTATCCATGACGGCGTAGTGTGTTACTAATGGTTTTCTTTGAGACTGTGGTCCCAGCTCTCTTCATGTCATGCAATAAAATGCAAATTAATTACATAAAAATCATACAATGTGATTTTCTGGATTTCTTTTAGATTCCGTCTCTCACAGTTGAAGTGTACCTATGATCAAAATTACAGACCTCTACATGCTTTGTAAGTAGGAAAACCTGCAAAATCGGCAGTGTATCAAATACTTGTTCTCCCCACTGTATATGGACAAGCAATGACAGAGCGGCATGGACTAAGATACAGTAGAATAGTATAGAATATAGTATATACATATGAGATGAGTAATGCAATATATGTAAACATTTTTAAAGTGACTAGTGTTCCATTTCTTAAAGTGGCAAGTGATTTCAATAGGCAGCAGCAGCCTCTAATGTGCTAGTGATGGCTATTTAACAGTCTGATGGCCTTGAGATAGAAGCTGTTTTTCATTATCTCGCTCCCAGCTTTGATGCACCTGTACTGGATAATAGCGGGGTGAACAGGCAGTGGCTCGGGTGGTTGATGTCCTTGATGATCTTTTTGGCCTTCCTGTGACGTCGGGTGCTGTAAGTGTCCTGGAGGGCGGGTAGTTTGCCCCCGGTAATGCGTTCGGCAGACCACACCACCCTCTGGAGAGCCCAGCGGGCGGTGCAGTTGCCGTACCAGGCGGTGATACAGCCCTACAGGATGCTCTCAATTGTGCATCTGTAAAAGTTTGTGAGGGTTTTAGGTGCCAAGCCAAATTTCTTCAGCCTCCTGCGGTTGAAGAGGCTCTGTTGCGCCTTCTTCACCACACTGTCTGTGTGGGTGGACCATTTCAGTTTGTCAGTGATGTGTACGCCAAGGAACTTGAAGCTTTCCACCTTCTCCACTGCGGTCCCTTAGATGTGGATAGGGGGGTGCACCCTCTGCTGTTTCCTGAAGTCCACGGTTGTTCGCGCTTTCAGTTTTGCACGAATGCTGCCATCTATCCACGGTTTCTGGTTAGGGTAGGCTTTAATCATCACAGTGGGCACAACATCTCCTATACACTTCCTGATAAACTCAGTCACCGTTTCAGTGTATTCATCTAAATTATTTTCGCAAGCTACCCGGAACATATCCCAGTCCGCGTGATCAAAACAATCTTGAAGCGTGGATTCCGATTGGTCAGACCAGCGTTGAATAGTCCTTAGCACGGGTACTTCCTGTTTGAGTTTCTGCCTATAGGAAGGGAGGAGCAAAATGGAGTTGTGGTCAGATTTGCCGAAAGGAGGGCAGGGGAGGGCCTTATAACCATCCCGGAAGTGCGAATAGCAATGGTCGAGAATTTTAGCAGTCCGAGTACAACAGTCAATATGTTGATAGAACTTTGGCAGCCTAGTCCTCAAATTTGCTTTGTTAAAATCCCCGGCTACAATAAATGCAGCCTCAGGATATGTGGTTTCCAGTTTGCATAAAGTCCAGTAAAGTTCTTTGAGGGTCGTCGTGGTATCGGCTTGAGGGTGGATATAAGCGGCTGTGACTTTAACCTAAGAAAATTATCTTGGGAGATAATACGGTCGGCATTTGATCGTGATGCAGGGTGCCAGTCCTTTGGGGCCTCGTTGACTGCTAGATGGCCTCGGCTCTCATAATACATCCTCATTTCAGGTCAAGGAAAGTTTGAGGAGGGGTTTCGTTTTACATAACCATTACCCTTCTATCAGAAGTGGATAAAACAAACTTACGACCAGCAGAGAGTAAAGCCAATGATAACTGCTATTAGGAATCCAGGTAATCAGACAGAGCCAGACTAAGGTTTGTATGGGAGTTACAGTTAGTGAGCACATCCTCCTGCTATAGGGAATACCTGTACTGAGCAGCACAGATAGCTCAGCTCCAAGCCAAACTCTGTTGGCTCACTCCTCTCCAGGTGAGAAGTTCACTGGCACCATCTGCTTGCATGGCGGCTGGGTTTGGGAGGGATGGGCGAGCTGGTTAATCAGCACACCCGGAAGAATGCCAGTAGCGATGAGCTGCGTGGGAGGGGGTGTGGGGGCTGTGCCTGTGGGGTGGTGCTGATAGGGGGGGTCTAGAAGAGGCAGCTGCAGGGAAGTTTGGGGGGATGCGAGAGAGCAAAAAGGCGACGTGTGCACAAAAAAGAAGCTGTGCCGCAGGCCAGCAATAATTCATGCCTCCTCTGTGACTTTGAATTCCACCCTTATTCTCTGAGCTCCACTTCAAAAAGGAACACCGCGAAAACAGGATGATGCTAAACACACAGAGCTGTGCTTAATAGGCACTTTCCATTTTAGGTACAATATTCACCTCACAATCATTCACCATTTCCATTCTTTCGGCACCATGTTATAGAAAATCAATCAATATGAATGTAGGTATTATGTATGCATTTGAACCAGGGTTTCCGTTAGGAAAATGTGGCGCCAGACATTTGACCGGCAGCCTTTTAATTTAACCTCTTAAGGATCGGACCCTTTTTTTCAATTTTGCCAAAAATGACATACCCAAATCTAACTGCCTGTAGCTCAGGACCTGAAGCAAGGATATGCATATTATTGATACCATTTGAAAGGAAACACTTTGAAGTTTGTGGAAATGTGTAATTAATGTAGGAGAATATAACACAGATTTTGTCAAATCTGGACAATTAGCCGGTGGCAGTTTTATTTATTGGCTTTTCATTATTATAATTTTTGACAAAAAGCTGGCTATTACCGGCTAACGGAACCCCTGATTTGAACTATTGCAGACTGAACTGGAGGCCTTTTCTAAGCAAAGGTTCTTGTGTCTTTGTTGGTGCATCTCCTTTCTGAAGAAATACATTATTAACAACTGACCCAAATCCATAGTCATTAACATTCCTCCCTCATAGACAGAACAGGCATTCTTCATTTGAGAGACTATTCCCCCACGGTGGATGAACACAAGCCAAAAAGTAAGCCAACAAACAGGCCAATAGGTTTCACAGCCGACCAAGCCAAAAACAGGGTTTAGGCAGGGATCAGCATACATAATGGATGGTTTCAGCTGCCTTCCAAAACGATTCAGAAGAATGTGAAAATACACTGAACAAAAATATAAATGCAACATGTAGAGTGTTGGTCCCATGTTTCATGAGCAAACATTTTTTATCACAGAACTTTTCCATACGCACAAAAAGCTTATTTCGCTCAAATTTTGTGCACACATTTCTTTACATCCCTGGTTAGTGAGCATTTCTCCTTTGCCAAGATAATCCATCCACCTGACAGGTGTGGCATATCAAGAAGCTGATTAAACATTATGATTATTACGCAGGTGATAATAAAAGGCCACTTTACAATGCCACAGATGTCTCAAGTTTTGAGGGAGCATGCAATTGGCATGCTGACTGCAGGAATGTCCACCGAGCTGTTGCCAGAGAATGTAATGTTCATTTCTTGACCATAAGCTGCCTCCAATGTCGTTTTAGACAATTTGGCAGTATGTCCAACCGGCTTCAAACAAAAGACCATGTGTAACACGCCAGCCCAGGACCTCCACATCTGGCTTTTTTACTTGCTGAAGACTATTTCTGTCTGTAATAAAGCCCTTTTGTGGGGAAAAACTCATTCTGATTGTCTGGGCCTGGCTCCCCAGTGGGTGGGCCTATGCCCTCCAAGGTCCACACATTGCTGCACCCCCACCCAGTCATTTGAAATCCATAGATTAGGGCCTAATGAATTTATTTCAATTGACCAATCTCCTTATATGAACTGTAACTCTGTAAAATCTTTGAAATTGTTGCATGTTGCGTTCATATTTTTGTTCAGTATAGTTCTCATTCAGTGCAGAAGCATCAAAGGATATTTAACAAATCACAAAAAAATGATCAATCTAAAGATTCCATACTTGCAG